TCTAGTTCCTAAGACATCAAAAGTAACAGTGCTCTTTTCGTTTTATTTGATCGTTTAGATTGAAAATTATTAAAAATTGTTGTTTGCGTGACTACGAAAAATAGGTGCTGGTGTAAATACAGTGAAAACACACGGGGTGGCGGTAACAGCAACAGGTTATTGATTAGGGGGCGGAACGAAACGCGTACATACACATACTGAACACCCTTGCTCAAGGATAACGCTAAGACATTAATTGTTTGGCGAGCGCTAATTTTCCGGGAAAGGGGGATTAAACTGTTCCGTAGATTACACCGTTCGAGATTAAAACAAATTTTGAGATTTCCTCCTTTCAATCAATATTATTAAAGAAATTTGATATTCATCAAAGGTGCAGTTCGTGCACCTTTGGTGCAAATCGATAAGAGGTGTTTGTACCTGTTTCTCTGAAAATGAATCGCGTCATCTCCGGCCAATACCCGAAACGGTCGATTTTCCACTTCTGCCCCCTTTCGTCTCCGCCCGGAAGACGCCGGGGGGTTGAAGTACACCCAATCGGGTTCCGCCGACGATGAATGAAAGTTTTAGAAATCTCTGAAACATGCACGGAAACCTAAAACGGCGTTGAAACGTGCCCGAAAATAACAAGTAAATTTTTTAAGAAAACCTTGTTTTCCGTTTTCGGATTTTCAATAATTCAAGAAATAAATTTTGAAATACAAAAGATTTTTTAAACGTTGCACCAATTTATTTAACAACATTGCGGATGTCGTGACTTTCTTTCTTGGAGGGTTGTTGGAGTGGTTAATTGGCACCTTTTTCCAATTTTCCGCCTCGGTTTGAAATGGCTCGAAGTAATTTCTTTTACCTCAAAACCCCCCAATTCAATTACTCAACTAGGTGCTACAGTAAAATCTCGATATAACCGACGAAATATTTTTAACTCAGTATTATTACAAAAATAAACTCGTTAAGTTATTTTTGAATTTACAAAATTTCTCAATACTTAATTAAATTGGTTAATTGACACTTAACTACTATGACGTTTCGTTTGTGTCATTAATTGACAGTTTTAATGACTTGAGTTGCGATTTAAATTTGTGAAAACCGAAACCAAATTTTGGTTTCAAGTTTTAGGTTCAAGTTTTAATTAATTTATTTAAAAAAATCAAATTAAAATAACTCAAAAATGTGTATCATTTGATACTCTAACATAGATATAAAATTTTACGGATTACTAAAAAAATTAACTCGTTAACTCGTTTTTAAATTTATAAAATTAATTCATACGTTATTAATTTACATTTAAACAAATCAATTGGAATTGTTATTATTAATAAATAAAAAAAAGAATCGCTCAAAAATTACTATTAAAATAAATTCGATCTATAATTTTTATATCGTTGTGTCCCAATTATTAATTGACAGTTCAAACTTTGCTTGAAACAGCGAAAAAATCATTAAAAATTAAGGTTGTGAAATAAATTTTTATGAAAAAATTAAATTAGGTATTGAATTCAATTATTTATAACAATATTTAATTTAAAATCAAATAAATGGAAAGAAAAGATCGTTGTCGGTAAGTCAGACAACTACGTCGTTTTTATCATTAACTGTCAGTTTTAATTACTTGAAGTTGTGATTTAAATTTGTTAATACATTTTATTGATTTCTTAACCCGGAGAACCCAAATTTTGGTGCAAATCAGTTTCAGGGATGACAAGGTAAATGTTTTAATTAATTTGTTTAAAAAAATCAAATTAAAATAACTCAAAAACTTGTACAATTGGATACTCAAGAACATAGATATAAGATTTTACGGATTACTAAAAAAATTAACTCGTTAATTCGTTTTTAAATTTATAAAATTAATTCATACGTTATTAATTTACATTTAAACAAATCAATTGAAACCGTTATTATTAATAAATAAAAAAAGAATCGCTCAAAAATTACTATTAAAATAAATTCGATCTATAATTTTTATATCGTTGTGTCCCAATTATTAATTGACAGTTCAAACTTTGCTTGAAACAGCGAAAAAATCATTAAAAATTAAGGTTGTAAAATAAATTTTTATGGAAAAATTAAATTAAGTATTGCATTCAATTATTTATAACAATATTTAATTTAAAATCAAATAAATGGAAAGAAAAGATCGTTGTCGGTAAGTTAGACAACAACCTTGTTTTTATCATTAACTGTCAGATTAAGTTACTTGAAGTTGCGATTTAAATTTGTTAAAACATTTTATTGATGATGTAACCCGGCGAATCTAAATTTTGGTGCACATCAGTTTCAGGGATGACAAGGTATACGTTTTAATTAATTTGTTTAAAAAAATCAAATTAAAATAACTCAAAAACTTTTATCATTTGATACTCAAGAACATAGATACAAAATTTTACGGATTACTAAAAAAATTAACTCGTTAATTCGTTTTTAAATTTATAAAATTAATTCATACGTTATTAATTTATATTTAAGCAAATCAATTGGAACCGTTATTATTAATAAATAAAAAAAATCGCTCAAAAATTACTATTAAAATAAATTCGATCTATAATTTTTATATCATTGTGTTCCAATTATTAATTGACAGTTCAAAGTTTGCTTGAAACAGCGAAAAAATCATTAAAAATTAAGGTTGTAAAATAAATTTTTAGAAAAAATTAAATTAAGTATTGCATTCAATTATTTATAATAATATTTAATTTAAAATCAAATAAATGGAAAGAAAAGATCGTTGTCGGTAAGTCAGACAACTACGTCGTTTTTATCATTAACTGACAGTTTTAGTTACTTGAAGTTGTGATTTAAATTTGTTAATACATTTTATTGATTTCTTAACCCGGAGAATCCAAATTTTGGTGCAAATCAGTTTCAGGGATGACAAGGTAAATGTTTTAATTAATTTGTTTAAAAAAATCAAATTAAAATAACTCAAAAACTTGTACAATTGGATACTCAAGAACATAGATATAAAATTTTACGGATTACTAAAAAAATTAACTCGTTAATTCGTTTTTAAATTTATAAAATTGATTCATACGTTATTAATTTACATTTAAACAAATCAATTGGAACCGTTATTATTAATAAATAAAAAAGAATCGCTCAAAAATATCTATTAAAATAAAAGTCGATCTATAATTTTGTATATCGTTGTGTCCCAATTATTAATTGACAGTTCAAACTTTGCTTGAAACAGCGAAAAAATCATTAAAAATTGAGGTTGTAAAATAAGTTTTTATGAAACGATTCAGAGGATGTTGAATTAAGTATTGCATTCAATTATTTATAACAATATTTAATTTAAAACCAATTAAATGGAAAGAAAAGATCGTTGTCGGTAAGTCAGACAACTACGTTTTGTTTTTATCATTAATTGACAGTTTTAATATTTATTCGGTGATAGTAATTGATGGAGCTTGACACCACAACCCCTGGTGGGTCTTGGCCTATTCTAAGATCATGTTCTTATAGTTCTAGGTCTAATGTTAGTTCTAGTGACTTTATTTGCCACACTTAGGAGGGTAATTCCGCTGTAGTTATTACATACAGTTTGGTCTCCCTTCTTATATCGGCACGATTATAACGTATTTTCCAGTCTTTTGGGAGTTTTAAGTGCTTTTAGATTAGTTCCAACAACATATATGATCCTTCAGTAGTGCATTATGCTTCTTCAACCTATCCATGCGTCTTCCAAGTTATTTATAAAGAAGTGGAATTATTTATAGAGAAGTGCATAAGTATTAGCTTCCTGTAAAAAAATCCCGGCGCCTCCACCAATTCGTTTCAATATTATATTTACCATATCATTAAAGATTTAATAAATCAAAAATTGGCGAACAGTTCACGTGGTCGAATGAGTGAATGGCGGGATGATTCTCTTTTCGGTGGGGTCGTCGTCATTTTTGGGGGGAGGTTTAACAGCGGCGTCGAGAATTGCATTGATGTCGTATTGATCGAGAGCGTGGGAGGCAGAGCGCGACGCCTCTGACGCAAAAGGAGGCCTTCGTCGGCGGATCTGCGCGGAAAAGACGCGGTGATGGTCGAAACGAATTTTTCGGGACCCATCTATCTTCAAAAATTTCGAAAATGTTCAATAAAATAACAAATACAAATGGAAATAATGAGATATGCGAAACTTCCTGTTATATATGTCAACGTCAATTATTATCAACATGAAGTTAGTTCCAATTATAAATATTAATCCTGTTTCGATTCATTGATATAAGATTTTTTGACAATTTTATTTCTTTATTATGAAAAACAAGTTAAATTGGTGATATTTATTAAAATTTTTTTGAAAAAATAAATTATTTTCGTGAAATTCGAACAAGTGGTCGAAGTGGTTTAGCCACGCCATCGTTCGGCGTGGTTACGAACCCAACAAACTGTTGATATGCCTCCGTTACATTTTCCTATCGATTTCCTGCGGGGTGCGACCCGCGGGCTATTTTTAGCCCTCAGGACGTATTTATAAAAGCCCGCGCCGGAATTTACTCCTTCAACTCCCCCTTTGTAACCCCCAAAATAAAAAAAAATGTCAATTTTAAAAACACAAGAAGAGAAATACTTTTTTTAACTTAATCGATAATTCAAACGATTTCATTCACCTCGTCGTTTCCGTTAAAAAATTCAAGATCTAACCCGTTGATTTTTGGGTAACTTGTCGAGAGAGTAGTAAATACGTGAGCCGGGTATAAAATGGAGGAGTTTTTCCCGGGGAAATTAAAAGACGAACCGGGGGTAGGTAGACCCGTGGAGGTACATAATTCATGGCAGCGCGTCTCTTTCTGGACAAGAAAGGAAGGTACGTAAAAAAAATAACGGTCCGGTGAGCGCGGATCGATTGGGTGGTCCTAATAATAAAAACCGGGACGTATAAAAAGCTTGCTTCGTGGGTTAAGAATAGGATCGTCCGCTCGGAATTTATAACCCGAAAATTAGCACGTACCAACAAGTTGCCGAACAAAAAATATCATTTTTGAAATGTTTTTTCTTGTATTTTTCAGAATGTCCCCCAGCTAACGATGGAATGGAAAGATTCGCTTGCCCAACACCCGATAGACACGGAAGATACCTTTGTATAGACGACCACGTTCTTTGCGATGGTTACATCGATTGTCCAGCAGGAGAAGATGAAGATAGACAAGCCTGTTTATTCTACAAGACGGTAAGAATATACAATGAATTTCACTTTAAATATATTTCGTCAAAACTTTGTCCTACATAAAATGCAACATGTCTTATGTTTCTTGTTCTAGGTCTAATGTTAGTTCTAGTGATAGTGCCGAAATAGAACTTAAACAAGACCTAGAATTAGAATCATTCGGGTTTAGCCGTCTTAAAAGACGTATGGCTAAATCCGAATGTTTCTAGTTGTCGGTCTAGTGTTAGTTTTAGTATTGCACTAGCACTATCACTAGAACTAACACAAGGCACATATTGATTACATTAATCGTCGTTTTTTCACCAAAACGGGGATAAAATCGCTTCACCAGGTGGTCTCGTTAAAAATAAACGAGCACGCTATTTTTCGACGCTAATTTTAACATCCTGCACGATCTTTTACTGGCGATTAGAACCAAAAAGAACTTTCTTTTTACGTCAATAAAAGTTTTATTAAAGTTGGCCGATAACAAATGTACTGTATTGCCGTTATAGCCAAAAGAATCATTTTAATGCACACAAATTCGAAATGCTATCCACTCCGTTGCGTTTTTTATACTTGTGAACCATTTAGACATTGCATCAAAGATCACCAACAAGTTTGTAATTATTTAGAACAACCTGGCATAGCTATAAATCGTTTTGCAATCATTTAGACAATATTTTAAAAGTTATCAACCAAGCTACAATCACTTTGAAAAATTTTGCAACATCATAGACTTATTTTGTACGACATTAGATGCTGTTTCATATGGTTTTGAACAATTTGGAATAGCTATTGATCATTTTGCAATTATTTAGACAAGTTTCCAAACATTACCAACTAAGTAGGAGTGAGTACTGACTGTACACAGTTAAAGACCAAAGGTTAACGGGATAAGCAGCCGGTGTGGCAGGTGAGAGAAGACACACGCTTTGTAAGTAATACGCGGATGCACTTTGAATCATGTCTGATTACTTTACTTGTAACATCGGCTGCTTATCCCGTTAATCTTTGGTCATTATCAATTAATTGTCAATAATTTTGAATAATTTTGCAACGTTATAGGTTTATTTTGAACAAAAGAATCATTTTAATGCACACAAGTTCAAAGTGCTATCAACTCCGTTGCGTTTTTTAATAATTATAAAGAGCTGGCATAGCTAGGAGCCATTTTCAATTATGTATATAAGTTTTCAGTGTTAACCAGCTACTTTTTAACCATTTAGACAAGCCTTTAGTGATAATTATCACTTTTTAATCATTTCGAATAACTTTCATACCTGTGAACCAGATATTAAGCATTTAGACATTGTATTAAAGATCACCAACAAGTTTGTAATTATTTCGAACAACCTGGCATAGTTATAAATCATTTTGTAATCATTTAGACAATATTTTAGACAATATCAACCAAGTTATAATCACTTTGAAAAATTTTGCAACATTATAGACTTGTTTTGAACGACATTCAATGCTGTTTCATATGGTTTTGAACAACTTGGAATAGCTATCGATCAGTTTGCAATTATTTAGACAAGTTATCAGACATTACCAACTAATTTTAAGTCATTTTGAACAATTTTGCAACGTTATAGGTTTGCTTTGAACAAAAAAATCATTTGAATGCACACAAATTCGAAATGCTATCCACTCCGTTGCGTTTTTTAATAATTATAAAGAGTTGGCATAGCTAGGAACCAATTTCCAATGATATACACAAGTTTTCAGTGCCAGCCAACTAGTTTTTAACCATTTAGACAAGCATTCAATGATACTTATTAATTTTTAATCATTTTGAATAACTGTTATACCTGTGAAGCAGATATCAAGCGAGGGGATGAAATTCTCCATATTTCCCAAAAAATTAAATAATAAAATAGAAAAAAGTAAACATGTTTCGAAACAAATGTTTCATCTTCAGTACTTGAAATAATTACAAAATGCTGGACATTTTTTTTTTAATATGTTGGAAATAGGAATGAGTTTAAGAAAGAAAACCAAAACTCATTCCTATTTCCAACATATTTAAAATTTTTCCAGCATTTTGTAATTATTTCAAGTACTGAAGATGAAACATTTGTTTCGAAACATGTTTACTTTTTGAAATAAATTAAATATTTTTAGTATTTCTTATAAAAAGTGTTTACTTTTTCCTATTTTATCAGATATTAAGCATTTAGACATTTTATCAAAGATCACCAACAAGTTTGTAATTATTTACAACAACCTGGTATAGCTATAAATCATTTTGTAATCATTTAGACAACATTTTAGACAATATCAACCAAGTTTTAATCACTTTGCAAAATTTTGCAACGTTATAGACTTGTTTTGAACGACATTAGATGCTGTTTCATATGGTTTTGAACAAGGTGGAATAGCTATAGATCATTTTGCAATTATTTAGACAAGATTCCAAACATTACCGACTAATTTTCAATCATTTTGAACAATTTTGCAACGTTATAGGTTTGTTTTGAACAAAAGAATCATTTTATTGCATACAAATTCGAAATGCTATCCACTCCGTCGCGTTTTTTTAATAATTATAAAGAGTTGACATAGCTAGAAACCAATTTCCAATGATATATACAAGTTTTCAGCATTAACCAGCTAGTTTTTAACCATTTAGACAAGCTTTCAGTGATAGTTATCAATTTTTAATCATTTCGAATAACTTTTATACCTGTGAACCAGATATTAAGCATTTAGACATTGCATCGAAGATCACCAACAAGTTTGTAATTATTTAGAACAACCTGGCATAGCTATAAATCATTTTGTAATCATTTAGACAACATTTTAGATAATATCAACCAAGTTTCAATCACTTTGAAAAATTTTGCAACGTTATAGACTTGTTTTGAACGACATTAGATGCTGTTTAATATGGTTTTGAACAAGTTGGAATAGCTATAGATCATTTTGCAATTATTTAGATAAGTTTCCAAACATTACCAACTAATTTTTAATCATTTTGAACAATTTTGCAACGTTATAGGTTTGTTTTGAACAAAAGAATCATTTTAATGCACACAAATTCGAAATGCTATCTACTCCGTTGCGTTTTTTTAATAATTATAAAGAGCTGGGATAGCTAGGAACCAGTTTCCAATGATATACAGGGTAATTCAAATTCGACCCCCACCATTGGGATCTCAGAAACCATAAGAGATAAAGAAATGGTTAAATGTGGGCAAAGTTGCGTGTCATTTTCCAACTAAGTTTTTGGATCTAGCCGTTTTTGTTTTTAAAATATGGCCGAAAAACAAAAAAAAATGACTTTCGTTTTTTGCCTATAACTGCTTTATTTTTCGTTTTTTCGTGAATCTGAAAAAACATTTTTAAGGCAACTTTTTATGAAAAATGTCATGACACAACTAGAAATTTTTTCCGACGTTTCGTTTACGTGAAACTATCATCAGGTTTATTTTTTTTTTTTTCTAATAATTCAATGTTCTTTTAAATGAAATACATTGTGTGACAAATATGGCGTTCATAAGAAAAAATAACTTGGAATAGCTATAGATCATTTTGCAATTATTTAGACAAGTTACCAAACATTATATATTACTTATACAGGGTGTCAGATAAAAAACGCCCCAAGCTGGCTGTAACTCTGTCATTTACATTCCGATTTTCATGAGCGAGGTATCAAATGAAATGGTTTGATGAATACTATGATTCATGCTACAAATAAATTTTTTCCAATTTCAAGCGATTATTAACTTTTGTTTTTCAAATAGCTCCATATATTTTTCTTCACGTCATTGAATAGAGATTGTTTTTCTGAATCCATTGATGTACAATACATCCATTTTAAATGTAATATTAGCAGAGAAAAGACACCTGTATATACAGGTTGTCAGGAGTTACAGCTTGGGGCGTTTTTATCTGACACCCTGTATATATCATTGGAAATTGGTTTAGCTATGCCAGCACTTTATAATTATTAAAAAACGCAACGGAGTGGATAGCATTTCGAATTTGTTTATAACGTTGCAAAATTGTTCAAAACGATTGAGTTAGATTTTTTTAATGGACCGCCCTGTATATTATTCCATATTTCGATTCTGCTAAAAATTCTAAATAAAATTCATGTAGCACAATTTCAATTTTTTAAAAGCTCGATATCTGGAAAACTGTTAAGTTTAGGTCTATGATGTGTACAGGGTGGTTCAAATTCGATGTCCGAATAGGCTATCTCGGAAATTATAAGAGTTAGAAAAAAAGTAGCTTACATGTCATGATCTCGTTTTTCGAGAAACTGCTAATGCCAAAAACCTCAAAGCGCTATCGTCTTTTGTTTGTCTCCTACTATGTCCCGATTAAATTTGTTATTTTTTTTCTGATTACAAAAATATGGGGTTAGATAGGTCTATTTCTTATTGTTTTAGAATAAAGCTAAAAATAAACTTTTTTTTAGTGTCGTCAAAGAAATTAAATTTACAGTTTCCTGTAAATTATGGTACTATAACTAAAAATTTATATAAAATTTACTTTATTTTCTAATATGTAACATTCTAACATATTAAATTTTTCGTAATTCATCTTAAAAAGCAGGATTTTTAATTTGACACTTCAGAAAATTTTTGAATACAAACAAAAATATATACAGTATGTCCCCGAATAAGTGACTCTTATAAAAGGTAAATTTTTTCGATATTAATTCTCCTTTTTTGAACATATTTTCAATTTTTAAAAAACAAGTGAGCCTTGTCAGTGAAAGAAGAACACTTTTTGTGGCAGATAAAGTATCTTTTCTGTTTACAGTACGTGAAAGTGTTACTAAGAAATTTTGTTCAGAATGAAAAACTATGGCCATATGCAATTTTCGGATTGATCGGCGGCCTACTTTGAAAAATCCATATCAAACAATTTTATTTCTAACAAAGACTGCCATGGATGAAACAAAATTGTTTTCCTGTTACTGTTAATCTGTCAAACTGTAATTTAAAGTGTTTTTTAAATACAATGTTAACATTAGAGGAAAAAGTTTACGTGATTCAGTGTTATGGAAC